AACACTGAGTTTTAATGCTCGAGAAGGTATTTGCAATCATCTTGTGCCTAAGAAACTGCTACCTGACCAAAGGAGAGGGGCATCTGCCCAAGACTGAGTCAGATTATAGTATAGCGGGGAGAAGACAGAATGCGAGAGCAAAGGGCGCCGCTCGCGTCAGCCTCTAGCTGGTGTGGACACTTGCTCCAAGAGATTTCTCAGGGTTAGCATTAATCATGCCCTTTATCTCGGTGAATGTGAAGTAAATTAAGACCTGCAATAAAGAAAGGTCCTATTAGGAACAAAATTGATAAAGGGAGGGCAAAGTAAAATCCAGGGGATTTGTGTAAGAACTCATTTGGTAATGTGAAGAATTTCGTAGAAGAGGCAGAACTCTTAATTGGGAAGAAAGGAGAGACTAGGAATAGTTATTATCTTTATTATTGTTATCAAATGATTATATGGCTTTTCATCTTCAGAACCTTTGCAGACTTTAATTAAGTGTCAAATGCAGTTAAAATCTAAATTGCATGACTCGTCTAGAGAAATTAGAGTGTAAAGGTTTTGTGAGAAAATGGGTTAGAATTCTTCTGTTCTGGAAAATTGGAATTTCCTGTATTTGAAATCAACATTAATTAAGAAACAAAAGCCGTGGTAAGTGTGTGTCCTACTCTAGTTGTTCACTCTCCTTCCTTGTGGAGGGGGAAATAGGCAGCATATGCTAAGTGCGGACCTACTGGATCAAAGGCAGCAGGGAGGGAATACTTGCTGGCTTTCTGAGGTTCATCTTTTACAATGTTTGAAAATAGATCTGCAGGGCCAGGGAGATAGCTCCATAAAATAAGTGCTTGCCTAGCAAGCACAAGGGCCTCAGTTCAATTCCCAGTTCCACCAAATCAAACAAGGAAACATGAAAATAGATCTGCAGTATAAATCATAATGGAATCTTTTTCTCCTTTAAGAATTTTGTAATTATGATGTAAGAGGACATTTTGACTCTTTAAAAGGTTGTCAGTCAACACATAGCTTTGAAGTATTTTTATTCTTCATGATGTAAATCCCTACACCAAAATTAAAATGTATAGGCAGATATGGTGGTACACATCTGTAACCCCAGCACTCTGAGAGGATTCTGAGTTTGAGCCAGACCCCAGCAACTTAGCAACTCAGTGGGTCCCTGGCTGAACGAAAGGAAAAAAGAGTGGGGCTGGTACTAGGTTCAGCCCCAAGTACCAACCAATCAATAAATAAAGCAGAAGAGAGGCCTAAACAATGAAGCAAAGCAAAAACAAAACAACCCCCTCCCACACACACTTGTATATCCCACAACTGGGAGTAATACTTAAGCATAGGAATCATTTTAGGAGATATGAATTTTTCTTTTAGAGATTTCCTTATTCACTCATGCATAAACAAAATCATTGACTCCTGCCTCATAAAGACTCGCTTACGGTAGGCTTGCTTCTGAAGGTAGGAATTTGTCTTTCCAAGTGGCACCTGCATTTTCTGGAGCAGTTCAGCACTGGAAGAAATGACACTTTCATTCTTGTAATGAGGCACCATTAACCAGAGGCCTTTTGTAAGGGTGTAATTTCAGACTTCATTAGAGACCGAGGCAGTGACACCGTCATTACTCTGGAAAATGTGCTGGTGTTGTGACTCTCCAAAGGGCCTTACATTTTTAATGCATCTTGTTGGAATATTTATGAAATGGCACCCCCAGCAGAGGGCGTCTGTCTTTAATGCTCACAGTCCCAAGAATATTAGTTGACTGAATTTCATTCGCCCTCGGTTGAGACTTGCAGCTAGAAAGACACATTAAAGATAGGTGCTATAACCTGAAATTGGTTTTGAGTTAGTCTTTATTACAAGCAAGGTAAAGGAAACGTGTGTGTATCTCTAGTTTCTTTCATTACAGTAAAGGTGTGAGCACTGCGGTAATCGAATAATTTCACAGAAATGAGAACCAACACACAGTAATTTTGCTTCCTTTTAGGCGTCTGTGTTCTGGTTAAAGCGTGTATTTGCCTAAGTCAGACATTTGCCTTGCTTGTTGGCTTGACCTCTCAAGCATATTTTATGATCCTGACTTCCTGAGTTAAAAAATACATGTAAAATTAATCTTGCTCATAACCTGTGCAGTAATTTCATTCAGAATGGAAGCTACAGTCTAAAAGACTCCAGGGTTAGAAGATGGGGATAGAACTCAGTGGCACAGTGCCTGTCTAACAAGCACAAGGTTATGAGTTTGATTCCTGGTACCAAAAAAACAAACAAACAAACAAAAAAAAAAAAATTAGGAGACCTGGGCTTTCTGTCTAATCTGAGGTGAAGCAGTCAAGCTGTGGGTTCCTGCGGCAGGAGAGGTTTCTGCTGGGCAGTCTCACACCTTCCCTCTGACTCTGCCTCCCAACCTGATCCAGCAGCCTGGGAAAGTCCAGGACTGCTCCTCCCCGCAGGTCTGCTGGGTTCCTGAGCACCACCTGAGACATGGCAAAAGCTTCCAATGTGGGTTCTGGCTGTGCAAATCTTTATTCTCATGCACACACACCCATGTGAGCGGGTCCAACGGCAGGGTTTGTTCCAAAGAATGATGAGTGATGACAACTTCAAGTAGTCTACCTTCTCACATTTCTTCAACTATTTCTAATACAAAGGTGCATAGCAGCATTTGTTCAATTTCAGTTTACTTTATCGGTTCTGTGAAAAGAGAGAACAGAAAATACCATGACTGTTTCCTATTAATCTTCAATTAATAGCCTATTACAAATGAAAACTTTAGCGAGGGAATAGATGCTCTTCAAAGACCTGGCGTGTGTTCCAGATAATTTTTTTTACTTAACACAATTCCCCTTTAACCAACAGATTTAAGTGGTTTCTTCCTTATCAGGTGTTGTTCTTTTCGACCTGAATTTGCTTTACGTTATCTCTGTTTAAATTCTGTGGGAAATGAGTATTTGTCACCATTGACTGTTTTGAAGTTATAAGCAGGTGCATACATTCAGCCCACGCACGGCCTACAGTAAGTGCTGGCACAGAGGAGTGGAAAGACTTCTGGGCACAGAGAGGTGCCACAAACTTGCTGTTTCCACATTGTCTTTCCAGAGTAACAGCGGTGTCACTGCCGCCCTCTGACAGTGGGGCTCAGGGAGTTGCAGTGCCTGGGTGGGATCCTGACAGCTGGGAGTTGCTCTCCGCTGCGGAGGTGTCCAATTAGGGCAGCTTCCTGCCAAGCTTACATAAATTAAAAGTTAATTATTCACTTAACAGGTGTTTGATTTTTGCAAGGAATAGTCACAGATTTATGGCAGCGTCGCAGTGTGTTGGAGGCAGTATTTACCTATTAATTGCTTACTTCAATTAAATTCTGCTTCCCTCCCCCACCCCATAGCTCTCCTGATTATTAGCAAGACTTGAAACCTCAGAAGGGCAAAACTTCTGCAGGCTGGGGCCATATGGTGCTTTAAACCAGAGCTGATTGTCAGTACTGAGAATTGGTAAAGCTCTTCATAAAAATCTATATTTGTATAGTATCTTTTTTAAAAATGAGAGTATTTGCCGACACTGTCCTTGGTCTCCCATGGCGAGTGCCCGCGCTCTCAGTGCTGCCTTCCCATGCTGACATTCCCTTCCTGGGGACACGGCGGGTGTCGGCCCCATCCCTCCTGCCACATGCGAACAGCCACAGCCAGCGTGGTGTGGGCGTCTTCAGCCACTGTGTTCACTTTTGCACTTTGAGGTCTGTCTTACAAAATGGCACCTCTTGTCCATGGTAACTTTAATAACTACTATAGTTTTTAAAGAGTTCAAAGTAAAATGACTTATTGCTGTTTAACTAGCACATTTAAAAATGTTTCATGCTTCAATATTGGCACTGTATGGGGCTGGGGAGATAGCTTAGTAGAGTAAGCACTTGCCTGGCAAGGGTAAGGTCCTGAGTTCAATCCCTGGTACTGCCAGGGTGGGGTAGGATTATTGGCACTGTAGCAATACACTACTGTATTTATTGTGAAAACTTAGATGTATATATATATATATATATACACACACACACACACACACATGG